AAAGTGGTCCTGGAAAGAGGGGATGATCTTATACACTGAAAAAAAATAAAGTAACCTTTTTTGGTATTTACTTAATCATATTCAGTTACTTTAACACAATTGTTTCATGTTAGCAGGGCAGGACATATAAAATGTGCTAAAGTAACTAAATATGATTAAGAAAATGTCAAAGCAGTTGCATTATTTTTTCCAGTGTAATCAGGGGCATCCTATATATCTGGGTCAGTACAGCATATGATAGATAAATTGTGATATGCACAAGTCCCTCAGACTATTTTTTCAGGGTTCGGTTGAGGTTTTTGAGGACCCAAATGCAGAGGCAGGGAGGCAGAGGTGAGTTCTTGTACTTTTAATGGAGTGTTCACAACAGGTAACAGAAGCAGGAATCCAAAAATCCAACACAAAAATGCAAACAAACCAGAATCATGGAGTCATAAGGGAAAATATGCATGAGGAGCCAGGGAAAGACGAGAAACCAGCATTGAGGAACTGCACAGGAAGATTATTTATGGCTGATTGAACAAAGGACTAACAAACTGATTGGGAGCAGGTGTGAACAGAGACTTCTAGAAAGAAGCCAGGAAAAAGGAGACCAACACAAGAGGGCAACAAAGAAAAAACCTAAGAACTCAAAGGCTATGTTCACACTGCAGCCTGAAGTGACCCAAATCCGATTTGTTTGGCCCATATGCGACCTGGATCTGATCTTTTCATGGCAGTCTGAACAACACAGATCCGATTTTTTCCAATCTGACCCAGGCCACTTTGCTATGTGGCTCTGAATCCGTTAGGGATCTGATCTTTTCTAATGCGACTTGTGTCTGAACGGCCAGGTCGGATTCATCCGACCTGAACGTCATTAATACCCGACAAAGGTCGCTAATATACACCTTGCAACACAGAAGCAGCAAGAAAAAAAAACAATCATGGCAGATGATGATGCGGAGAGCAGTATTCTGCGGAGAGCAGAAAAGACCACTAGATGCGCTCTGGCACTACCATCCATGTTTACTTCCGTAAACACAGAGCACGCTGGCCTGTGATGTTATTGTGTCCTCTACTGCGCATGTGGGACACTTGCGTTGTATGACTGCAGTTCACACAGGAGATCACATGCAAGTCGCATATATTTGGAAATGTGAACGGCAACGTAAAAAAAAAAAAAAAAATCGGATTTCGCAAAAAAGTCGGAATTGAGCATCAAGGCCTGCAGTGTGAATGTAGCAAAAATATATCCGGAAAACACAATAACATAAGAATTAAACCAATAAAACAAAGAAAAAGATCAATTAATGTGAAACTGAAAACACAAAGAAAACTTAACAGAACCAAGACCATGACACTATTTATTTATTTGTTCAGTTTATTTCACTGATGGATAAAAACATTTTAAAAATAAGTTGTTGCACTTTTAGCTTCAGTCTTAGAATCACAGTTTATATGGATTCCAGAGATGTGGCGCTATAGTTCATTTAATATAAGGATGAGCTTTTGTCCTTTTTTTTTTATCATTATTTTGTTGGGTTACCCAATAAAAAAAACATTGGCCCCACCCTGGCCCCCCTGTAAATTTGCTCTAGAAGCGCCACTGTGGCACTGAATTAACATCCTAACTGACCTCATCTTAATCCTTTCAATGTTTTGCTGATTGCAAGTTGAAAACAACTGTACTTTTTCTCATGGTGAATACATCAGGCCTAGAATGCAGTGGTTCTTTTAAGTGGACCTAATGCATCACCTGGAACCCTTACTGACAGTCCTTACACCTGATGCAGTGCAGTATAAGATTACAGTTTCATGTAAACACAAACAGTTCTGTTTGACTTACTTTTACAACATTAACTGGACTAGAGAACCAAATCCTAAAATAAACAAGTTTTACCTTCTTGTGTCCTTTTTTTTTGGCATGAAGTATTCACACTGATGTACCTTTTTAATTACAGCAAAAAATAAAATAAAAATAATAAGATAGACTCTCATACATTCAGAATGTAGAAAGTAATACAAGCCACCTCTTGATTAGGCTCCCCAACTTTCCCTTAAAAAAAGAGAACTATCCCATACTAATAAATCTAATTTAATTCAGGTTTGAATTAAATTTTTACAAAATAAAATAAATGCATATCGTCGGTAGGATGGAAGGGTCCCTTTTTTTTTTTTTTTTCTTTTAAAGAGTTGGCAACCCTACAGTGTTCAACGTTCACAAAAAAATCCACCCAGAATGTATACTTACCGCACTAAAGCATTCATTGCGCAAACCCCCTGCAATAAAAGCAGGTAAAGTGAGTCCAGATTGGCCTGTTCAGGTGTTGGTTGGATTTTTGACCTGGAAGACCAGCGTGAACTCGCTGCAGCATGAAAGATCCGCCGCAGCGGGGCTGATAATCTGCGCTGCACTTGACTCCGGACCCGGACGCACCAACACTTGGCACCGCGGGAGGAAACATGTCGCGTTTGGTCGCTCGTCTCCTAGTTGTGGTTTCTCAACAACATGCAGCTGTCAGATCAGCGGTAAAGCCGAGGAGGATCCCTTCATTCATCCGATGTTTCTCCACATCTCCAGGTAGTAAAGAGCCCGACCTTTGGCTGTTCTGCAGCTGCGTCCTGCACCTCTTTTATAGCTTGTGTGGTGCTAGATTAAAAGGAATGGGTACTGTGATTCAATATATTATAAAGCTATATATAATTTACATTCCTCTTTTTATGCAGGCCTCCAGTCTCTTACACGTTACAACAAAACTACAGACTGGCAAAAGAAACTGACACCAGAGCAGTATTTTGTCACAAGAGAGAAAGGAACCGAGGAGGTGAGTATATTTGTCTGTGAAAAAAAATAAATAAAAAATAATCAGAATAAATCCATGAAATAAAATACCTAACAAATTGTACAAATGTGACACTAAGATATTTTATCTGATGACAAAAGATATGGACTTTGCTCACCATTATAGCACTGACCTGTGCTTTAGTTTCAGTCTGACATGTTACACACGTACACTATATTATGATTTGGAGTGATGTTATGGATTGGAGTTTATACATTTATTTTTGTTATGTATTTTACATACTGTAAAAAGTCCTGTGATGAAAGTGCTCATGTTTCAAAGGACAAAAATGTACAAACTTTGTTGCTTGCACTGCTAATAGCAGTCTGCCTCACCACCGACCTTTTTGACAGTTAAATCCCGCCAGTTATCTCATTGAGCATTGCCAATCATGTTTCCAAGGTTTGATTAACATCCGGAATCATTGCTGCCAACTTTTCAGTCAAATTTGAAGTGAGATTTTATTTCATTGTAATTTAATGTTTCTGGTGCTTCATTGCAAAAAACTACAAGTACCTAAGTACCCCCAAAGTACCTGGGATATTTCTATTGAGCCGGTGCGCTTTGGGAATACAGCATGGAACCACCATCTGTAATCACACTCCTGCCCACTGGAACCTTTAACCACAACACTCAAGTAGAGAGAACTCTAAAGCATAAAACAACAAGACTGAGGAACACCCTCAACCTTGAAGAATGTCAAAAGCTAAGCCATGTAAATTGACATTTGCTGTGCTGATGCATCATGTATTTAATTTTGCAGAACCTGCAAATTTCTTTACTAAAATAGAGCTTTGCTGCAGAGAAGAAAATGCTTTTAGTAATGCTATCAGCTGGGGAGGATGGAGATGATGAAGCGTTCCCCTCGTTCAAACAGCAATCTCACACCATCTACTGAGCTCAAAGATGCTGTGAAGAAATTCACCAGCCACATGCATCCAAATCATGAGTGAAACCAACACTAGGTTTTGCATTTAACTTTGAAGAGTAATAGATATTTGAAGCTAGTGGTTAGCGTGGGAGACATTCCTGTAAAAAATAAAGTTACTGTGTCATCGAATGGATCACATTCCCTCTTATTGAATGCATTTTACTGAGCTCTCAACATATACTCCACTGCATCTGTCTTTGGACAGATTTTTTTATTTTATTTATCTTGTGATTTATTTGAAATATTGTATCATCCAAGAATGTGGAGGAGCAGCTAGTGCACTTCACTAAAAAAACCCTTATTTTGGAGCATAGAGGTGGTAAAAGATCTGTTTGTGTGTGTTTAGCCCTTTAGTGGAATCTACTTGAACCATTTTGAAGTGGGAATGTACCACTGCGTCTGCTGTGATGTTCCACTCTTTAGGTAAATAAAAAAAAGTATTTAAATTAGAATCTAACATAAGATACAGAACAAACATACATTTCTGGTATTTTTGCTCCCTGTTTTTGTAGTTCAGAAGCCAAGTATGACTCAGGGACAGGCTGGCCTGCATTCAAAGAGGCTCATGGTACATGGGAGCGAGACGAGAGCCATGCCTCCATTGTTCGTCGCCCTGACAACAGCCTGGGCAGCGCTGGGACAGAGATCCTCTGTAAAAATGTGAGTTGTTTTCCAAGCTAACCTCATCATTGTATGCTGTCGAAAACATCTTGCTCAATGCATATTTGTCACACAGTGCGACGCACACCTTGGCCATGTGTTTGAGGACGGACCAGACCCAACGGGACAACGCTTCTGCATAAACAGTGCAGCTTTGATTTTCAAACCCAGAGAAAATGGTGTATCTGACATGGAAGAGTCGAAATGATGGTTATGATTGCAGCATTTCATCCAAATAAATGGGCTGCCTTATACACTGGAGGTGAATTGGATGATAAAAGTAAAGAAAGGTCCAAGAGCCACCCTCTTATAAAAAAAAAAAACAAACAAACATACATAATATGCCCTATTAACTCCCTGCAAATACGTTTTTACTGTTTGTCAAATGAATTTTGTTTATTTTAAACTAATCTGATGAAAATTACTGTTTTGTCTTCATTGTTCATAATTATATTGTGTTACCATTAAAAGGTTTCTCACACATATTTTGATATTGGTCATTTTCCCCTTAAAATCGGTTCTTAAAAGTTACTGCTGCCCCCTGTTGTACAAAAAAAAATCCCTCCACAATACTCAAACCTCATCTCTACCAGTTAATGATTAACTAGGTGAACTATCCTGTTTTGCACAATGTCCCTAAAAATTCCTGTGACCAAATCTTCTGAGAGCGTGTTGGAGGTTGAGTAAAAACTGAAAAGGGATCCACAGCAGGCAACAGAAAGATTGGGAACAAGAGATTCCAGGAGAAAGACCAGAAGAGGATTTTAAAATAAAGGATTGATAGATCAGTGATTTGAATAGAAGATAGCTTCTTATGGCTGTGATTGTTGGTTCCAGGATTACTGAAGGCTGCCGTTGCATGATGGTTCTAGTGGTTCTGGTGTGCCTTTGTCTCCTTGTTCCCTCTGAGGCTGTAGGAGGGGCCAAGAGTCGACCGAAACCTCAAAGACGCCCTCCAAAGACACCAAAGGTCAACCCCACTGATGCAACCCCACCTGCTCAAAATATAGACATCCATCAGGTAAGACAGGAATAAATGCAGACTACAAACTAAACGTAGTCTACACGAGCTAACAAACTGTGGAGACCTTAGAAAAATGAAATAAGCAGATTTCTTCCCAAATTTTTGCTGAAATAAGTAGATAGTTTTGCAATTTAAAAAAAAAATAGATTAGTAATGTAAAACATGCACATCTACCCAAGATAAAGGTTAAAAACAAGCTCTGAAATCAATTATCTGTGATCCTTTTTCATTTTGCAGAGTTCCAATTCAAAATGGATCTTACCTACAGATCACAGCCAATTAAAATGCATTTATATAAGTATGTGCCACATTTCCCATCGATGAAATCAAATCATTTAGTAAACATAAATTTTTAGGGAAACATGCAAATTGAATGTGTTTAATGCCCAGATTTGCATTAACAGAGCCCTAACATTATTGGCATCTGAGTTGAACTTTGTTTGATCACACAGCAAACAGTTCTGCATGTGGTTTGCTGACCTTTGCACACAGATAGTGGCTCTTATTTCACACTTGTTTTCAGTTGTTTTACAAAACAAAGTCAAAAAAGGCTAGGCTTAGGAAAAGTGGGTCATGTAAAACAAGGCAATCAATCGAACTCAGCAGGCTTTTTTTCTTATTTTTTTTCTTAAAAAAAGACAATCAGAGTACGATCTCTGACATAACTGTTCTCAAGGGTTATATTCGTTAAAATGGTAAAACCGCTTCAAAAATATTGAAACTTGTGCTCTTCTTCCTGAATACATTAATCTAGATAAATAATTTATTCTATTGGTTTCTTGTCATATATTTTAGCGTAATAATTCTTCTGGGGCTTGTCACTCAAGGCTAGGTTGAGAAACAGAGTAAGTGGTGTGCTGATGCAATACAGGGAGTTTTTCTAAGGTAAATGGATCACATTTTATACAATAGCGTTCCTTTCATTTCACACGTTATGATGGTGACAGACCTTACATTCTATAAGCATAAGATTGTTGTAGAATTTGTAAAATAAGCAAGATTTCTGACTCTCTTTCAGTCACAACTATGGACTTTTTACATTTAAATTAAATTTGCAACCCAGTTGTATAAGCATAGCTTCTGCTGCAAACATCTAGATTTATTTCATCTAGACTTTGAAAAGCTTCTTCTTTATTTACTCAAATCTACAAACATGAACTAAAATTTAATGAGCAGTTGGTCTCATAGTGAAGGAAAACTAACAAGGTGAAATAGGTTGAAGTAATATTTCATCACTATAGCTGGAAGTGTCTGGAGGACCGGCCCTTCAGCATCATATTGTTGTCATGTTTGTATGCATAACATATAGCAATACTGATGTTTTTAATTCTAACATGCATTTTGCAATAAATAAAATACCTGGCATAACAAATTGGTGTATGCAGCTCCTCTTACTTCTCTTGATGCTGAGGTCATTTATTTGCATTGTGAATCGAGCCTTTTATTGTACCTGGCAACAGCAAAAAGAAACATGCTTCACAGAACGAACAACCATAGATTTTCCACAGGCTATACATTTTTTTGCCATCATTGATCTGAAAAGTTTCTCAGTCCAGTGCCCATTTTATAACCAGCTTTCTAATTAGGGTGGGAAAAGGTTGTCCTTCTCAGAGCTGTGCATCGATTCAATAGTTCCTTAACATAATAGCAACTATGAAGACAAAGATGGTCAAATTTTATAAAATAAATGCACCAACAAAAATGTTCTGGGAAAACAAAACAAAAAACCAGGCTTATGTTCTGGAAATGTGTCTGTTTCTTTTCTGTGTAACTTTAAATTTCTGTTACAGATGACAGGAACATGGTATCTCCTTAATGCAGCCTCCAAGTGTCCCCACCTAATAAAACATGGAACCAAGGTGGAGCCGACTGTCATGACAATAACAGGTCCCTCTGACCAAGTTTTCTCAGTTAGTACTAAAACCAGACAGTAAGTATGGATGCAATTACTTCCAATCCATAAATGCATTTGTGAAAATAATGAAGTCATCTGAGTGTGCAAATATCTGAAAACGAAACTTGTTTGTGTGTCCTCAAAAACAAGGAAAGGGAGGAAGGAAGTTAAATCCAGCAGCTTTACTTTTTCATTTCATAAAGCTCAGGTCAAACTGACCCGGCTTTTTATCCTTTTATAAGCTGAAAAATGCACTTTTGGAAATGTCTTATTTTGATATCAGGGTCATAAATCCCTGTTTTCTTTCAAGCACATGAAAATACTTTTGTGTAATATATTTCTCATAAAGGAATGCTAAAAAATTAATCACATAATCTGCTCTCTTGTCTTCTCTTCTCAGTAATCATCAGTGCTGGGAGATATTGCAACAGTACCATCTGACTTCCACCACAGGGAAACTAACACTTAAAGGTCGGCTCTGCTCTTTGTCACGTTTCCACAACCCACTTTTACCCACTCTGATCTTTGTTGCTCCCACCAGGAACTCGTCCTGAACTCAACACCGACATCGTGGTTGTAGAAACAGACTATACCTCTTATGCAGTGTTGTACTATCAGAAACAGGGGAAGATCACAGTAAAACTCTACAGTAGGTTGAGAAGCTAGAGTTTGTGTATGTCTTGTTTATTTATGGTGATACAGTGCAGATAATTGCTTGTATGATGGCCTCCAGGTAGAACTGTGGACGATCTATCCGAGCCAATGTTGACTAAGTTTGAACAGCTTGCTGAAAAACACGGCATGGGCCTTGCCTACCTCTTCCCGTTCTCCATATACAGTAAACACACACACA